TTTTTTAAGTAAACCCCTTAATAAGTCCCTTGTCAGCCTTTTCATGTGCAAATAATTTTAACTTCCTACATCTAACATTTGTTTTGTCGTACGCTGATAAAATGTTTTCTCTGTTTTTCCATATTGTTGCAACAGTAGACTTTCCAAGTGCTAATTTCTTACAAATGTCACTCTGCTTTACTCCACTTTTTATTTTGTTAATAATCTCGTACTTTTCATTTAGTGAAAAAGCTTTGCGTTTTAGTTTTTCTATTCTAAAACAATTTACATACATAACGCGGCAAAAAACAAGTCACTGCCTGTCTCTCGCTCTCACTAATATAAACAACTCCGCAGGATTGGTGTTGCTGAGCGTGAAAGTTCGTTATAAACGGAAAGTGAATATACAACTAACCTAAAAAGTGATCGTTATATCCGGAAGTTCGTTATAAACGGGTTCGTTATAACCAGTAAAAAAATACGTCGGTCTTTATGGACGACGTTACAATTAAAGGAAAAAAGTTCGTTTTAACCGAAAGTTCACTATAACCGAGTCCAATATAAGCGGACTTTACTGTATTACTACCGAGGGATAAACAAAATTGGCAACTGAATCTGAATTAAGTGGCAAGGTCCTTGGTGGGAAAAACACGTAAAAAATGCAAACTGTGAACACAATCTTACATTTTTTATTAGGAATTTAAGTATCTCAAAGTTTTAAATGGAAAATAATGAAACTTAGTGCACTCGCGTCTCATTTGATCCAGGGAAACACAAAAAACAAATAATGAATAAAGTAGTGAAAAAACTCGAGCATTTCGAGCGTGGTCGAAGAATGTATTTCCGGATGAACCACTTCTAAAAACGTGAAATCATCTACAACAATCGAAATTCAGAAGGCCTCAAGCTAGACAACGACCCAAAGTTTATCCACCTCTAGGAAAGGAAAATCAATTTAATCACTAACAAAATACCTTATTTCTTAATTAATCCTTTGATAAAAAATATTGCTGTTTGTCCTACAAGCATATAAAATACATTTTACGAATCATAGTCGCCATCTATTCAGAGCCAAGCCTATTCTTGTTGCCTAGTTGTAGTTGGACTAGCGGGAATTCTCCTAAACGGAGTAAACATTTCTGAGCACAGGTCACCAGATGGTGCGACCTGATGGAATCTCAGATTTAAAACCCATAAATGTTTACATTTATTCTATAAGCCTTGTTCTATGCATTTATTCGATTAAAATGTTTCCTTGTTGTACGTTTTCTGAAAGCTCAATGTTTGCTGCACAAAAAGGCACTCTCACCAAAAAGCTCTAATGTGAGCTGTTTTAGAGTAATCAATCATGTGATAAAAACCTAATTAGATTTACATTAAAATTTCATTTATCATATGTTGTTACTTAAATTTGCTGGTCCATTTCGGGGCGATAATTGTGAGTGGAGTTCAAATGTTTTGGTTTTTTCGAATTGATGATGATTTCCTGTTATTCAGGGCTCGAGTTTGTAATGCCCTTTTTCCTTTAGAAAGGCTAACGCAAACAACACTGGCCTTAGAAAAAGTGCCTTTATGTTTCTCCAGGGGCGTAAAAGTTGGGGAACAAAAAACCCATTCAAGCCCAAAATATAGCTGGCTGGCAAATTTCAAAAATGTAACTTCAGGGTTGAAAAAGGTTCCATTACCCGTGCCGAATACTTGAAAAACCAGTAGCTTTTACTCGCTAACTTTAATAATAAAGTTCTTAGAGACTGTTGAAGTATACCGTTCAAGTTTGTCTCTTTATAATAACCTATTAGTATTTGCATTGTACCTTGCGTAGGCTGCGGCATCACCATCAAGGGGCGCTCCATATAATCCCAAAAATCCTTGTTTTTGCCTTCTGTACTTGTAAAAAATGCAAATAGTTTACATCTGACAGAACGTAAACAAACATAGGCCAGCCGGTTAAATGCAGGGTTATAGGGAAAGTCTTCTTCAATCATGTAAAGTTTCTGGAGCATTTGCGGCCGATTGGGGCTTCTAGCAGCCCTAGTGCGGCCTGCCTGGCACTGGGGCCGACATTGGCAATTTTGGCAAATGATTTTGTTAGTATATAACGGCGTTTTTGGCTCTTAACTAGTAAATAACCCAACTTTTCGGTCTGTTAGTGCTGGCAACGTCGAGTTTGGTTCAATGAAAACAAACCGATTGTCATGTCAGGTTGATCGACTCCCCAGCTTTGTGTCCTTCAACGGTGATGATAATGTATCATACGGTTTTATGATTCTGTTTGCTGTTTGCGAGCAAAACGCAGTGTTTTGTGAGCCGTGGGATTAACGAGGTGTTTGGCGACATGGCAGCATAGTCGGCGAATTCTAGACGCAGCCCGTTGTTCGAATACAAAAAACTGTCCTTACATATCCTGAGTATGGATTATAAAAGTGTCGTGTACAATGCTGCTAGAGATGGCAACCTGAATCGGCTAAAAGTAAGATTATTTCTCGTTAATTGCATGGTTTTTCAGTTGTTTGTATCAAGGGGTCTCGTTACGTTTTTCCGATAATTATCGACTTGGCCCAGCTCCCAACTTCTGACATGGCAATTGTGGTTTAGTTTCTGCCTGCTTGCGCTCTCATCTAAATCTAAAACAATCGGTGACTTCTAAAGCAAAAGCCCAGTCGTCGAGTCCCCCAAAATTGCAAACGAACGACTTTTAGGAATTTATCTGTAAAGTGTGGCAAAGCAAGCTATTGCTTCACAGTTTTCACATGCCCCACGAGTTTATTTGTGATTAAGCCTCAGCCTCCTGATACGGTTCTAAAGCACACAGTTGAGTAATTGTTACCATACACCTTCATCCCACATACATGTTTCCATTATCTGCCTAATATTCTGATAATTATCAGATGTTTCGTTGCTTTATACAAGCTGATCCATTAGCCTACTTATTACTAACTGGGTGAGTGGAACTATGGACTGGAGTCTTGGAAAAAGCCTCGTTAAAAGTGACTAGCTTAAAATCAAAATTCCGTACGCTATCGAGAGCCCTAGGAATTACTGAGGAAGATTATTCCTCTTCATGCGTGGTTAGTCAAAGGACTGCACAACGTCGGCTTAATTGAAAAATAAACGGTTTTCCAAATTGCGCAACTATTTTCTGTCGACACATCATGAAAACCGTTTTTTTATTACATATTTCACTATTAATTTTTTTCACTTAAAACAAAACACCTGGTTTTTTCAATGAGAATTTCTCTAATTGTCTAAATACCTTTTGCTGGATGTTAGTGGTCAAAAAAACATAAATAAGTGCAATTAACTGATTATATCTTCTGTGAAAGATATGATAGATGCTTTTTTCTTCAAACATATTGAAGAAAATGTATTTGTTTAAAAACGGTTGCTCATATTACCTTTGATCGAAAAACATCCGTACAGCTATGAAAGTGCGAATAAACTACTTAATCTTACTGCCACTTAATTGAGTAACTTGCCTAATAATAGGGCTTGATTTACTGTTTGTTCAACTTTTACAATTTTTCCTTTCTTTGTGCGTTATGGATTTATAATTTCTTTGTGTCTAAATTCTTAGGAATTCAGTTTTTTTACGTTTTGAAAAGTTCGAAACGTACGAAGAATCGAATTTTCGAAACAAGTAAAAATAAAGGTTTTTGATTAGGAAGATGTTTGCGATTTGAGGAAGTTTAATAAGCAATATTGGACATTTTCAAACGCAAGTGAAATTTGCTCAAAAATATTTTGCTGAAGTAAAGAGAAGCTATCTGATAATGTGTGGAATTTTCAGGCCAAAAGCTAATAAAGCCATATAAGTACAGCGCATTTTGAATAAAAACACAAGACGGTACACGATGAAATTAAAAGAAAACGTTCAGATACTTAATGATTTTTTGATAAGCAAAAAACAAAGCCAGTGAAAGCCGGGAACAAAAAAGACAGAGAAATTTTTGAAAATATATTATGAGAATTTTGAATGAAAAAATTTGAAGAAAAAATTAATTCATTGAAATGATTCGCTTTACATTTCAATCAACATTCATTGCAATGAATCGCCTACTTAACTTGCTAATAGGTGTGACTCATCAAAGGAAAACTCTCCTGCTAGTGCATTGACTTTCTTATTCGAATGGCCACTAAACAGTAACCCATTCGTTCGCCTTTTGCTCGTTTGCTTATATAACAACCCCATATTCTTCGTGTTATGGAATAGGAAGTTAATCCAGCAGCCAGCCAGCTCTTGTTCACTTTCGCCGAATACTCAGTTTCTTCTGACTGGTAGCTTGAAGAACTGAAGTGGCCACGCTTTCCTTGTTTAAACCATCGAGTGCTCTAATTTGTGTGGTTTAATTGATGTAAGTTTCCCTTTCTTTGTTATTAACATCTGCAATTATGATCATGTTGGCGGTTGACAGCATTTCATATACAATTTCAAATTGTCTACCCGAGTAATTTCCGAATTCACACACTTGCAACCTATTTTTCGCCAAAATATGTTTATTTTAATAATGTTCATGTTTGCACTCTCTGAAGGTGAATGAAGACTGGAAGGACACTCTATTTATAGACTGAAATATATTATCGTTTGTTGGATGTATTAATGGCCTGATTGTAATTAGCAATTTAAATTATTTAAAAAAAACCATTAAAATTACAACTAATGTCGGTTGCAAGTGTAATGCATTGTATCAGGGCGGACTTTGGACTTGTGGTATGACAAACGCATGTTTTCCTGAGAGCGCTTTGCAGAGAAAGAACGGCATTCTGCATATGCAAAGTATTCATTTGTCAGTTAATTACCCGTAAAAAAACACATAGTACCACTTATCTGTTGAATAACTTGAACAGTTAATTGATTAGAATCCATCAGCAATTAAGCGTTTACAGTCGAGTTGAAGGATGAATTTCTCATTTTCCATCAAGAGAGTTCTGGAAATGTATTCAAAATTCAAAGGTCTGTTCCTCTCGTGTCAGGAAATAGTAGAAAACAACCAAACTTACAATTACTGACTTCCTGTTTTTGCAACCCGAATCAACCAAGTATTTATAGATTACAAAGCTGAAACAGTGAAAACACAAGTTCGTAGATCCTGCAGAATTTTGTCTTTTTCTGATTCAGAGCATAAGAATGTATTTGGTGCAATGACTCAAGTGCGAAGAAAGAAGCACGTCTATTTCTGGGCAATTATAAATCCAAATTACTTGAGGCTCAAGTCCTTGCAGATGCAGCTAATGATTCTTTGTGTTCTTAGTTTGGTGCTTTGAAACAGCCGAAATAACCCAATTTTTACAGTTCGTTTTGCGATTTAAGGCGTTTTTTTTTCAAGTTTAAGAAGATATATGAGGAGATGACTTGCATGTGATATCGACCTAATTATAACGCGATTTTGACTCGTATTGTTCTAGGCTACTATTAATAAGTAGTTAGTTTTTGTTGCTAACAATGAATCGCATTTACATTCAATTGCATAGGTCAGTTGTCCTTAAATGATATTTTCCTCCTTTATGGGCGACTGACTGGCAATATTAATGCATTATTTATCAATTTCTTAGCCTTTGTTTATAAAAAACGAGGCTTTTGTTCGGCACGCAAATTTTCGATTTGGCTTTTTGCCTTTATCAGGTGGATTTTCTCGAATGTTTTTCAATAATTATCCATAGGAGCTTTCAGTTAGGAAGAGATTAACTTTGTGAGGTGATTAATTGCTGTACTTTTTGGAGGTACATTTATGATTTATGAATATTTGGGTGGAATTGAATTATTGGGCGAAATATTGGCGATGAAATTGTAGTATTTTGCTGATACAATTTCCAGTGTTATTTGAGTACATTTCCTTTGCGAATTGCACATTTAGAGCAACGCATTTTGATTGAAAATTGTATTATCAAGTTGCAAAAAGTTTTTGGTTTTCCAATCAGTGCAAACTTAGCATCTTGTGCCATTTTTAACTGCATATGATTATTTTCAATGTATTTTTATATTTAAATATTTATACAGGAGTGCGTGCTTTCCAAGATAAACAGTTTGGGTTCTCGACTCGTTTCCATTCGATTCTTTCGACACAAGAAGGTCACAAATATACGTTTATAAAGTGTTTGGTTCAATAATAAGGAAGAAATCGTCGGCTAAAGATAGTTAACGCGATAAAACGCTTAAAATGTGCCGAAAATGTCTATTATTTCGGATCTGAAACTTGTAGCATGTTTTTCAATTAGTTCAATGCATTCCTCGCGTCCGTGAGCTGAAAATGATGTGAAATTTAAGACATTTTGAGAAAATTTTCATTTTTTCAAAAATCGACCACCCTTGGAAAATTTTCGACCAAAAGTCAAAATTTCACATGTGTGTTTTTTGAGCTCAATCGATTCCTTTCGACGTAAGAAGGTCATAACTATGCATTTATAAAGTGTTTGGGTCAAGAATAAGGAAGAAATCGTCGGCTAAAGATCGTGAACGCTTAAAATGTACCGTAAATATCTATTAATTCGGAACTAAAACTTCCACCATGTTTTTTCAATGAGTTCGCGTCCGTGAGATGAAAATGATGTGAAATAAGACGTTTCGAGAAATTTTTTATTTTTTCAAAAAATCGACCCCCACCCTTGGAAAAATTTCGACGAAAAATTAAAATTGCCCATGCATGTTTTTTTAGCCCAATCTATTCCTTTCGACGTAAGAAGGTCACAAACATGCATTTATAAAGTGTTTGTGTCAATAATAAGGAAGAAATCGTCGGCTAAAAATCGTGAACGCTCAAAAAAACGCTTAAAATGTGCCGAAAATGTCTATTATTTCGCATCTGAATCTTCTAGCATGTTTTTCAATGAATTCGTTGCATTTCTCGCGTACATGAGCTGAAAAAGATGTAAAATTTAAGACATTGTTGGGAAAATTTTCGAATTCTCAAAAAATCGAATTGGAAAAATTTCGACCAAAAATCAAAATTTCACATGTGAGTTTGTGAGCTCAATCGATTCTTTCGACGCGAAAAGGTCGCAAATATGCTTTTATAAAGCGATTGGGTCAAGAAGAAGGGAGAAATCGTCGGCTAAAGATCGCGAACGCTCAAAAAACTTACCATGCCGAAGAATTTTGTCTATTTCTTTGGCTTTTCAGAAAGTTTTGAAATTACCACCCAATTAGTAAATCTATATTATGAAAATTTAGTGTTTAGTGAACATCTGAAACCGGATACTTCACATCGAACCGATTCAGACATTTTCGTGTAAAAAAAGCTAACGATTTCTAAGAAATTATAAATTTTTTTAACCTGCTGCACTCAATTGATGGCGATCTGCATTCGGGCACGTCATTAAAACATTGTTAATATTGAAATGGATTCATTGATTTTGACACCGGCTAATGGTTATTGATAATTGTATTAAAAGTGCGACTTATTTGTGTTTTTAATTGTGGCACCTTGTCGATTGTGGCAAATGCTTTGCAATGCTGTTGTTCGATCCGGTAGAGTT